ATAATTAAAAAGAAATTTAAGCCTTGAAGCTAAACTCAGATATCCCGTCAAAACAACACTGTGGAAGAGAAGTTGAGCTGCCTCTCTGCTCAACAGTCACAGGAAACATTGAGGAAGGTTCTCCACTCGACACCATTTACATTCTTTTCTTTTGAAGATCCAAGTTCCACTGTGTGACACTGGAGCCAAACAAAGAAAGGGGGACTTTATCCAGTGCACACCTCACCACGACCCACATCCCATCCAATCCCCACCCCCAACGTATTAAGTAAATGTTGTGAGGGAGGTGAGGAGCCTTGACAAGCAGTTAGGGAAGGACCAAGATCAAAGAACTCGGCAAGGACATCAATGAAGTTTGTAACCTAGATTTACAGAGTCCCCCCAACTGTTGATCCTGGCCTCCTCCTCCAAGCAAGAAAATAGCATGGCTTGAGCAGCCAAATCACCACCAACACCTGGGATGGCTTCTCCAGGGAAAGCTCACTACTATATGAATTAGCACATGTATTCACTCACCCACACAGAGTTTTAAGGCAAACTTGTCTAGCTGAGAAGGCTTCATGGGAGGAGAAAATGCTGCCTAATAGGAGTAGTAATGAGCCATCAAGTTGTACTGTACATCCAAAGACCGACCCTGATGCCAACAGGCCATCATCACAGGGACCTTATTCAATGTAAGGAAGGGAGAGCAGTTGAGCCATTCCTCCCCTCTTCTCCCTTGTTGTTGTTGTTGTTAAATGCCATCAAGTCAGTTCTGACTCATAGCAACCCTGTATAGGGTTTCCAAGGAGCAGCTGGTGAGTTTGAACTACCGACCTTGTGGTTCAAACTGACCTTGTGATCCAGTACTTTATCCTACCACTTCACGCCAGGACTCCCCTCTTCTCCCTAGCCACTTCGTCAGTGGTAATGGGCTGATGGCCTGTGGTTACTGTGATTTAAGGAGGAAAGGGGTGAGCTTTGGGGATGAACTGTTATCCTGGGACAGACCGAAGGTGTTGAATGAATAGCTACAAGAATAATCTCTTGTTCCTTAACTGTGTATCATCCAGTTGTGAGCTTGAGGTGGAAGAATCTATAAAGAGCTCTTCCCACAGAGCTTTTGCAGAATTAAACGAGCTTCCTCTCCTGAGCTGCTTCTCCAGAGAACAGGCTTCCAAGCCTTGTCAGACAAAGGTACTGTCAAAGGGAAGGAGCTGCTAGGAAAGTACTCTGAATGACAGTACACCCAGAGATTTTCACTCAGCACTTTCTCCAATTCCTGGTGGATTCCTTAAACAGACAACTTGGCACCAGCATATCATGCCTGTTTTCTATACAACACAAATGATGAAGCACCTCGTGTTTGATTCACAATATTAGTTTTTAAGCAACTTTGTAAAAACACAAAACCTAGGAAACAAAGAAAAGATGCTTGGCTACATTACTTCACTAAAAAACAGTGATATGTCTCCTTCCACTTTAATCTGGTATAAATGTGTTTAATTGTTTCCCTTCACACAAAGAGTCTGAATGGCAACTGCTTCTTTTAGTCTATGAGAAGGCTGTGTCTGGGTCAATGCCATTCAGGGTGCTGAGCATTCAGGATGACACAAGGAGCTCTCACCAGAATGTAAAGAATGTACTGCATCTGTCTTCAAAAAGCCCTGCTAGGAAAAAACAAAGTCAGCTCCACTAAACAGTGTGTTCGGTGCTAAAGCTAGTGTACTGTTCTGGAGCAATCGCCTTATCTCGCTGGGAGCAGATAACGGTTCAGACACACAGCACCCGTGGCCCACACTCTGAGTGGCTGCTCTAAGTTACACAACTCCCCATCTATCTGGGATTGCACCAGACTCATGTTTATGATGGACTTTTGAGGTTTCGGTAAAGCACCCCAATATTAAGTCCCCACTATGTCCTTTCTCATTCTATGGGACCTGGGAGGGATTTCCTTATGACTTCTTGTAGTTGTTAAGTGCCATCAAGTCAGGTCTGACTCACAGTTACAACTCCTAACAAGTTGTATAGGGTTTCCAAGGCTGTAAATATTTTTGGACCAGAAAGGCTCATCTTTCTCCTATGTAGTGATGGATGGGCTTGAACAACAGACTTTGTAGTTCACAGGCCAGTGTTTATCCCACAGAGCCAACTCACCCCCCTAGATCAGTGCTGTTGTTAAGTGTCATCAAGTCAATTCCTACTCATAGCCACCCTGTATAGAGTTTCCAAGAAATGGCTGGTGAGTTCGAACTACCAACCTTGTAGCTCAAACTGACAATGGGGTCCAGTGCTTTATCCCACAGCACCACACCAGGACGCCATACCAATTGTGCTGTGAATCTCTGTGGCCATAGAGAATGACTCCGGGAGGTCATGACCCAGGGTCAGCCAATCAGATAAGGAGATTGCACCAGCACTGATCTGGGAGGTGAGTCACAGATCAGTGGCCCAGACAGATCCAATGAGTGAATTCTGTGCTCATGCAAAAGCTACAAGGAAGACAGCCTTCTTCCATTAGATTTAAGGTATGAATGTGAATCTGAGTTAATGGAGTTCATGAGGGAAGAGCTGTCTATGAAATAGAGCAAAGACAAAGAAAGCAGACCTGAGATGTGGAGAGAGCAATTGGATTCTGAGTATCTGGATCAAGCCATGCCTGAAGCAGAAGTCTTCCCTAGAACTTATCAGTTGCATGAAAAGTTCTCTTTTGTTTAGACCAATTTGTGAGCTTTCAAACATGTGTGTCCAAGAATTCAAAGTGGTACAGTTTTGCGTGGCTACTGTACCATGGATTCATTCTAAAATCCACATGCATTGCTGCTTAAGAGACAAATCTGAAAAGGTAAAGGACAAGGCGTGAGAAGAGCTGCCAGTGTCTGGAACCAGAGGCCGGTTCCTGAGACTTCCCACACCCATGTCTCTTCCTCTGTCAGGTGAGTAACATCGGTCTCACCCACCACCTCTCAGGTGATTTCTAGATTCATATGAAGAGACACAGAGGAAGTTACTTGAAACATGACAAAGACACTACATATGTACGTACAAACAATGAGTATGAGTCAAAAATAACCTGCACTTGGTTATCTTAAAATGCCTGTCCACGCCCACAGCTGATGACAACATTGACATGCATGTGAAATTCTGTCGAATATACGAATGACAGTGGATTATGTGGCAAATCATCTGCAATCCAGTCATGGCTCTG